TATGTTGCTTACCCCACTTGCAGATTGTTTTGCTTGATTTAAGGAAAAACTCACTTCATTTTGGCATTTTATTTCTTAAAACAAGACAATATGTTTTGCTTGTCTAGAAAATGCTTCTTGATTTAAGAATTTGTTGACATTTGGACAAAAAACAAGACAAAAAAATCTGAGTAAGAAAAGCCTTTTTTGTAGTGAAGGATCGATTAAAAAAACCTTGAGCTGGGAATCAAACTTGGGTCGTCATGAGCACCTCTGTGGCGCACAGCACCACTAGGCTGTTGATGCCGACACACTTAGTGTTTTTTAACAAACAGTATTGTTATTTATTTATTCATGTTAATACAATGTCAGAAATAAAGGTGCTAAAGGTGTCTTTTTGTGCAAGTCATTTTAATCATCCAAACAAATCAAACATATAAACAAAAGCTTAATGGGGAGAGCTTACCCAAAAATGAAAACGGCCTCATCATTTCATGTAGTTTTATACCTTTAGGAGTTTCTTTCTTCTTTTAAGCACAAAAGAAGATATTTTAAAGAATGGCATCAATTGACCTCCATAGGAAACAAAATTGTATGGAAGTCAGCCAGCATTTTTCTAAATATCTTCCTTTTTTGTGTCTTTTACTAACCCTTCACTTGTTCAAAACCCATTTGAGATTTTTTTCTTTTGTTAAACACAAACAAAGATATTTTGAATCAGAATGCTGGTTGCTGGCCCAATGCTGGTTGCTGGAAATTTTTAAATATAATAATAAAAGTCACGCAGCATTGTTCAAAATATCTTCTTTTTTGTATTCACCAGTAGAAAGAAACCGATTTAGGTTTTGAACAAGTGAAGGGTGAGTAAAATACGAGAGAGATACTAATGTCTTTATTCATCCTGATGGAAATCATATTTATTTATTATATTGTTTATCCCCTATTTAGTGCACTTCATGTGTCATTCACTGTATACAGAAAATACTAATTGAGTGATCAATGACCAATTTCAGTCGCAGCTTTTCAGCTCTACGGATTCTAGTGAGCATTTGATTTGTCAAAAAGTCTGATGAAAGCTTAAAGGGACCGTTCACCCAAAAATTGTAATTCTGTCATCGTTTACTCACCCTTTACTTGAATTTCTTTCTTCTGTTAAACACAAAAAAAGTTCAACAGACAAAACAAATTCCTAAATGTTTGAAACAAGTGAAGGGTGAGTAAATGATGAGTTAAATTTAATTTTGCTTGAACTATATATTTTAAAAATATATTATATTATATTTTATTATATTATATTTTGAAATATACATTTTAAAAATATATTATATTATATTATTATATTTTGAAATATACATTTTAAAAATATATTATAATATTATTTTATATTATTTTATATTATATTATATTATATAATATTATTATATTATATTATATTATATTATATTATTTTGAAATATATATTTTAAGATTAAACATTTATAATAAAAGTCATTATATATTTTTAATAAAATAAATTATAGCAAAGAGTATTTTGTGAGAACGACTAATAAATGATATTGGTCTCACTTTATATTAAGTGGCCTTACTACTACATGTACTTGGATTCAAAACTGTGTTCATAATGTATTGGAGAACACTACTGGAGTTATTGAGGGTGAGGTTAGAGACAGGTTTGGTGGTATGGGTAGGTTTAAGGGTGGGTTAATGTGTAATGAATGGGTCAACAGTGAAATAACAGAAACTAATTACAATATAATACATGTATTTAATCAAGCATAAGTACAATGTAAAACACAATATACCTTTTTAATATTGACCTTAAAATGTTTTTTAAAATGTGAAAAACTGCTTTTATTCTAGCCGAAATAAAACAAATACGACTTTCTCCAGACAAACAAATATTATAGGAAATACTGTGAAAATTTCCTTGCCCTGTTAAACATCATTTGGGAAATATTTGGAAAAACTATTTACAGGGGGTGAATAATTTTGACTTCAACTGTATATATTAGTTAAGGCCACTTAATATAAAGTGGGACTATGACTTCTTATTTTTAGCATCGTAATAGTGTAGTATTTGCAGCTCTATAGTGAATTGTGTGCTGTCCTGTGGTCAGTGAGGTATTAATTCTCCTGCCTCTGTCTGTGTTGTGTGGCAGGTGCCCTGTGGCAGGCTGTGATGGTCAAGGCCACGTGTCTGGAAAATACACGTCCCACCGCAGCGCAGGAAGCTGCCCGATCGCCACCAAACGTCAGAAGGAGAGCCCGCTGAACGGGTCGGCCTTCTGGAAGGTGTGCAAACAGGAGCTCCCTCACTGCCCTCTGCCTGGCTGCAACGGTCTGGGTCACGCTAACAACGTCTTTGTCACACACAGGAGGTGAGAGAACTACTTAGTGGGTTCCTGATGTATGGTAAAGCAAAAAAAAAAAAAAACATTAAAGGACTACTTGCTGATGTAACGTACTTGCTAATGTAACGTGGTTTATTTACAGTATACAAGAGTGAAAACCAAAATAACCCAAAACCCAGCAAAGTAACAAAATAACCAAAAATAAAAGAGCAAATGAACAGCAAACAAACAAACAATATATGTTTAACCACACTGGTATACACGCAGGTCACAAATTGCTTATCACCAGGTTATCTGACGGTAGGTTTCAGGTGAGATGTTGAACTTTGCTAACAACGCCTCCTTCAAGTCCTCATAAACCTCAGCATTGAAAATGAATAATGCTCGGAGCGGGTTGGGTGGTGTAGGACTGGCGGGGTTACATATACTTCACAAATATTGTATAGACCATTTCAATGTGGTGATGTCATTGACCCATGACCATTTCCTTCTTGTTATCAAAGTATTTCATAACTGAAACAAGAGGCAGTTCAATCGTAACCTAATGTTAAAACAGCTGTCATAACATCACTTATCAATATGTGGCTCTTTTTAGATTCTCGGAAGCTACAGAAATTCAAAATGTAAAGCAGGAAATATTTTGGGACCATCGTTTTTGTTTACATCCCTCAAAATGGTCTAGAATTAAACAGGAAAACAGTGCGATATGTGCAATACGCAAATATAATACAATTATTTACAAGGTGTGTAATTATTAACAATATAATTACAGAAATGCACATATTATTAGATTTTATATATTATTTAATAGTACATATTAAAATGCTTTTAGTTTTATTGAAGGAATGAATATTATTATAATATAATTTCCAGGTAAGCAGTTTGGTCACTATTACTGTTTTTAATAATATTATACTTAAAATAATTAATAAAAATAATAAAAATATTTATAATTATATTAAAAACAAACTATGATATGACTTTCTATATGTTGTACTTAAATACTTTATTTTAGTGATGTAGTTATAATTGGATAAAATACCTCAAAGTGCTAGTGCTGATCTGTAGATGTTGTCTATTTACAGTTTGTCAGGATGTCCACTAAACGCCCAGAGCATCAAGAAGAAACTCTCTGATGAAGAAATGATGACCATCAAGCTCAAAACCAGCAGCGGTGAGCAAATCAAGCACTTCACATGAATAAATATGAAGCTAAATGCTAAACTCTATTAAGTGACATGCTTTAAAGGGGAACTATTATGTGAAAATCACTTTTATAATGGGTTTGAACACAGTCCTGTAGCAAGAGTCTGTGAATATAACCAGCTTTTAATAGTACAAATATATATATATATATATATATATATATATATATATATATATATATATATATATATATATATATATATATATATATATATATATATATATATATATATATATATATATATATATATATATATATATATATATATATATATATATATATATATATATATATATATATATATATATATATATATATATATATATATATATATATATATATATATATATATATATATATATATATATATATATATATATATATATATATATAT